CGCTCTGCCGCCAGCTGCTGGAGATCGGAACGAGCGCGGTCTCGATACTGGTACGGCAGTCGTGGAGGCCGGCACCGCCGATGAACTTGCGTTTCGGGGGAACGTAGGAGGTGCCGGCTCGAGCGATGGCGGAGACCGCATTCCTGAAGAGGACGTGGTTCGCGTGATGCTCCGGCAGGCGCAAACCAGCGAAGAGGAGGCAGATCGCCTGGTCCGCTTCCTTCTTGCGGCAGGCGGCCTCATCTCCAAAGAAATCGGTGATGCGAACCTTTTTGCCGATGCCGCCGCCGCTAACCGCGGTCAATGCCTGCTCCTCCGCCTCGCGCTTCCCCTCCCTCACCCTAATCCGTGCCTCGTACAGGGCCTTAACTCCATCACGCACCTCTCACATTACAGCGCTGCACAGGGTCACATCGCGGTGACGGAGTTTGTTCCACTCGGCGAGGTGCTGTGCACAACGCATCATCCCGCCATTAAAGGTGTGCCCGCAAAATCTGCAGCGGCGGTTGTCCGTTACCTTGCCGTCCGCGTTAAGCGCGGTTTCGAAATGCTTAAAAATAGGATGCGAAGCATCCGTTACGTAAACAATGGCGGAGGAGGAGGAAGCCTCGCCAACGTTAGTAGGAGCAGGCACGCTAACGGGGGTTGATGGGGTGGACGCCATGACCACTACAGAGAAGAATGAATAGAACTAAGCTAAGATCAGCAAGGGGAGGGAGAGCTTGGAGTTCAAAAATGAAGAGAGATGGTGCTTCAGATCTGAAGTATGGCGGGAATGGGGGGGACGACAAACACGGGATGCCTTCCATCCACGTCCACACCTGGTGAGGGTAGGCATGAGCAAAACCGGGTATTTACCCGACCCGACCCGGTTTTGCTATACCCGACTTCGGGTCGGGTATTTTCGGGTCGGGTACGGGTCGGGTACGGGTCGGGTAACATGCCCAGGACCAATACCCGGACCCGGGATTTGGGGGCGGGTAATTTAATACCCGCCTGGCGGGTCCGGGTATACCCGACCCGGTTTCCTTGAAAAGCGGGTAGTATTACCCGCGTTTTTCTACCCTGTTGGGCTACTAAGCCTACGACCTAGATGGTGCTTCAAAAAACGTGAGCTGCGGGAGGGAGTATGAGGTGCACCAAATCTTTAACAGTTCTGGTGTGGTGAGTGGGTCGTGAGTGGGGCCTGAGTGGGGAGTTGGTTGGGTTTTCTAGTTGGAATGGGGTTGTGTGCGGTTTCTGGGGGTTTGATTCTTTGACCCCCAGAGTCAATTGGTTGGAACTCCAACCAATGTGGTGCTGTGCGGTTGGCTGGATTCAGGTTGGGTTTCAAATTCGATTGGGGAAATTCGATTGGTTTGACTTCCAACCAATTCCCCCCAATGCAACCACTTTGAATGCATCTGTATCTACGAAACCCAACCCCTACCAATCTACAATGCTCTAAGTGACCTAGCAGCTCACGTAACCTAGAAATTTGATGAAATTTCTCTACCAGCGCGACTAATGTCTCGCTGGTTCCGTCGGGTAGACCGCTACCCGATTTCGGGTCGGGTACCCGCTACCCGACGCGTCGGGTAGCATTTCGGGTAGCGGGTATTGATACCCGCCTCGGGTAACCCGGACCCGGCCCGCCGGGTAATTTTCAGGATTTCCGATACCCGACCCGCCCTAAAAGCGGGTCCGGGTACCGGGTACCCGACCCGGGCGGGTAGTTTGCTCAACCCTAGGTGAGGGGGTGGGCGAAAAAGCGTGGACGAAAATTTGAGATTTCGCAATGTCGCGAACTTGCTGGAAAATTTTTGAATTTCAATTTTTTTTTCGCCGGGCAGCCTGGGTATCGCGTATTCCAAGCGTATCAGCGTATTGCGTATATTCGCTAGCGTATATACGCTATACGCTAAGCCTTCTGAGCGAATTTTCCAACATAGGAGCGCGCTACACCTGCCGTCGGGTTTCAGGGCAGGGGAGGGCGTGCGGATGGGGCTGAGGAGGTGGACCCAGGCGTTGAGCAGGAGGGGAGAAGGAAGAGACAGAAAATGAACCGCAAGGTTGGGGCAAAGAGGGGCAACAAGCGTGTGGCAGAATGTTTCGTGGGGAGCGAGAGGAAGCGAGTGTGCAAGATGTGCGAGAAGCCGATGGGTTTCAAGGACAGCCAGACCGGCACGGGTGCCAAGCACATGGCGAGACACCATCGCCCACACTGGGACATATGGCAGCGGCGCGTGGTCGAGGGTCTGGAGCCTGGAGATTCGTTTCCGGTGGGGGGATACCCACATGTCCCTGATGGGAAGGCGTCCAACGAGTGGTCCAAGACTTGGCCGCACCCCCCCCACGGCGCCAACATCCCGGACCTGTCCCCGGCAGCGGCGGACGCGAGGCAGCCCACGATGGACCGGTTCCTTGGCCCACATGTGTCGGAGCCGCGTTTGCGTCAGGCAATCGTCGAGTTCATCGCCAGCACCGACAGCTCCTTTCGCATCGTAGAGGACCTCGCGGTAAGCGAGCCACCCCACCAGCCCCCCCCCACCCACCCTTCCTTAAGCATGTGGTCATTGTGTTACCCCCCTCCCCCCCCCCCCCCTTATAACCTACTGGATCTGCCCCACCACCACCTCCTTCCCCCCCCCCGCATGTCGCTAAACACTCCCAAACCCCACGCCCCCCCTCTCGTTTCCTTTTGGCAGTTCCGCCGCCTCTTGGCTGTGTGCAACCCCCAATGCGGTGACGCAATCCCCATACCCGACCGGACCACCGTTTCCAGGGACCTCCGCTTCTACTCTGAGGCGGCACGGGACGTGCTAAAGTCGGAGTTTGGGGCGGGTTCAGGGAGCGGGCGTGTCTCTTTCACAACGGACATATGGACCGGGGGTAACAGGCGGGGGTACATGACAGTGACAGCGCACTTCATTAGCAGGGACTTTCAGCTGCGCCAGTGTACACCGGAGTTTATGGAGCTGGAAGCGCGCCACAGAGGGCGGCTGATGGCAGACGTGTTCGCGCGAGTCGTCAGGGAGTGGGAGCTCGTGGGGTTTTGCATGGGGGTGACGACGGATAACGCCAGCAGCAACACAGCCGCCATGCGTCGCCTCGCCGGTCTTGGTCCTCATGCGTTGGCCACGCCTCTCCTCGCAGATGGCATGCATTTCCGGTGAGTGCGTGGCGCGCTTGCAGCCCTTGTCTTGTCCACATTGTCTGCTGTTGTTCAGACGATCCACGCCTCCCCTCTCAATGGCATAGAGGGTGCTTAATGATTTCCCTCCTACCTCTCCCCCCCCTCCGTGTGCGCCTTCGTACATGCGCCTGGCGCACATCCTGAACCTTGCAGTCCAGCGTGCGCTGAAGCTGCCAGCGGTGAGGGTGCTGCTGAAGCTCCTACGCGACATTGCCACTTTTGTGGGATGGAGTGAGAGGCGCACGCGCGAATTTGAAGCGCAGCAGCGGCCCGATCCGGTCCTCAAAGGGACGGTCCTACGCCTGGTGCAGGACAGCGAGGTTCGCTGGGGCAGCACGCACGAGATGGTCGCGCGTGCATTGAGGCTCCGCCGATCCCTCACTGCGCACTTTGCAGTGGAGCAGGTACCGTCTTTACAAAAGCCCACTCCACCGTTTCCATTGCGTGCGCGGATGCTCCAGCGCACACCTTATGTGACATTTCCTTCCATGCCGCCACACCCATTGTCTCTCTCCCCCACAGGGAGGTGGAGGAGGAGCAGCAGGGCAGGCCTGTGGCGAGCTTCAAGCCGTCAGAGGTGCTGACCCTTGTACGGGCTCGCTTTGTTGAGTACAGTAAGCGGCTGCAGCAGGCGGCACAACCACAGGGCGGGGGCAGAGGAGGGGTGGGCTTGGCGGGGGGGGAGGTTGAGGGTGGATATGCTAGTGGTGTACCAGTGCGGGGAGGCTTGAGCCAGTCTCTCCACGCTAAGCTGCTAGCGCGCTCCGCACGACGGGGGGCCACGGTGAAGGACGAGGTGGATCGTTACATTGAGGGGGAGTTGCATGAGGGTTGCCCCCTGGCGTACTGGCGCGAGAGGTCAGATATGCCGGTGTTGCAGGCTATGGCCAGGGATTACCTGGCCATACCAGCAACATCGGCAGCTAGCAAGCGTGTGTTCTCTCAGAGCCGAAATGTGATCACCCGCCATAGGCAGAGGTTGACGGGGGAGAGCGGGCGAGCCACTATGACAGTCAAGTCATGGACTCGCACGCACCCTGGTGTCTCTCTGTTAAAGCCAGGGTGGATCAAAGAGACGGAGAAGCTCGGGGTGGAGGAGCTCTAGGCTGCGTGCTTGCTTGCCGATCGTAGCTTGCTTGCCTCTGGTTGCGCTGAGAACATGCCGTTGGCAAAGGGGCACTCTTTTAACTTCCATGCTACTACATTAATTAAATTATTGTAACACTGGATTCGCTTAATGCGCGCATGCCTCTGCATACCCGAGGTAGACATAGTCGTGGATAGAAACAGGGGATACCAGTTTCTGCCCACCTAGACTTGTAGTGGCGCCCCAAACAGAGCAGCACTTGTTCACAATCACAATCTGGCAGGTCCCCTGGACTAGACACCCCAAAAACAGTGGCCCTTCTTGAGAGGTTACACAAGGCCCCTTAACGAGCCGAGCCAGGGATCTTGAGGACCCGGCTCGAGGCGAGCCGAGCCAGGCTCGGCTCATGCCCATGTCTACCTGGGGGTAGGGTCGCCCCAGTCTAGACTCCTAGGTGTGTGTTGAGTTTTGTTGCTGTATACACTCCTTACTTGCCATGTGAGTACCTCACCACCTATCTAACACAAGGACATATTCGGAAGGAGGCAGGAGGGGTTGTGAGAGAGGGACGAGGGCAGAGGAAGTGACATGGGAGAGTGACACTGGGACAAGGAAGGAGGGTTGAAGTTGTAAGGCTAAGTGAGATAGCAATCGATTTGTGGAAAGCGAAGGCCAAGAACCATGTGCCAGAAAAATGTAGTTTTGAGGGCAGACTTGGTCCGTTAGAAGGGCACTCACCGGTGCCTTGGAAGATCTGCTGGTACGCCGTGAGCTCGCGGCTGCACACCGTGCGGATGAGCTCGTCCCGCGCCGCCCCCTCGCCATCCAGCGCCGCCACCACGAGGCACGCGTCCGCCAGCTGCTGCATCACCTGCCCGTTCTCCTTCAGCACCGGCGTGCCCAGCCTGGGGGGGGGAGGGGACAGCACGTTGCCTAAGGCATGGGCTAGCATGCCGAGCACTGCACGACCAAGCAGCGACGCCAGTTGCGGACGACAATGCATGGGAGAGCATTGCACGGCATGCTGTGGAGCAACGGAAAGGAGGCTGCATGATGCAAGAGGAGTGGCCAGCGGTGCTTTTCAGGGTGGCAAGCAAAGGGACAGCTGGCTCACGTGGAGAAGTCGGAGAAGATGTGTGACTTGAGCGTGGCCTTGAGCGACGCCACACGCCCCTGCAGCTCGCCGATCTTGGGGATGTCGCTGTACGCCTCAAAGTGTGCCAGCAGCTGCGTCACCGCCTGCACGCATGGAAGGGACGGTGATGCATGGAAGGGACGGTGATGCATGGATGCGCCACGGTTGAGGGTGTGGGCGGGTGCGAGTTGGGTGAGTGAGGAGGGCATGCGCATGCCTATGTTGGAAAATACGCGTACTGCGTTTTATACGCTAGCGTATATACGCTTGCGTATATACGCTATACGCTTGGATTTGGGGTCCAATACGGCAGGAATACGCATGCCCGGGCAGGAAAAAAGGTTTGCCCGGGCAGGGTAACAAAACCAGGGGGCAGCAAGGAAGCCATGATGGTAGCGGCTAGGCTAGGGTTTCTGAAAACGTGACTCTCAAATGAGAGGCATTTTCTGAGGGGTCGAATTTTGACCTGCCAATTCCCTCCCTTTCACCGCACTCAACCCCCCCGTCTACAAAGTCAAATTGGCTTCCAGCCAACCAACTCCCTCCCTTTCACCGCACTGAACTCCCACCCATCTACAAACTCCAACCTTTCCTCACAAATGCTCGACTCTCCCCCCCATCATCTCCCCCATCACTTTGGTAGAAGACTAACAAGCACCGTAACTCGCGCAATCGCCGCCACCTAGCTAAGCACACCACCGTTTCGCTTCAGAGCTGAGATTTGGACGGAAATGGGGAACGGCAAACACGGGATGGCTTTCAATCACGTACAGAGCAGGCTGGGCTATGGGCAAAAAAGAATTGGCGAAAAAACCGCGACGTCGCGAAGTCGCGGAAAAAAAAAATATAAGTTTTTTTTTTCGCCGGGCAGCCCGGGTATCGCGTATCGCGTATTCCAAGCGTATCAGCGTATTGCGTATATTCGCAAGCGTATATACGCAATACGCAAAGCCTTCTGTGCGTATATTCCAACATAGGCGCATGCAGCAACGCACTCACCGCGACAGTGTGGGATCGCGGCTGTTGCGCCTCCATTGTCCCTAGCTAGTCCCAGCAAACCCCACCATCTATTGCGTCGCCCCAGCAGACACACACGTGTGCCGGAGGAGCAGGCATGATGGGGTGGGGAGGGGCATGCGAGGGACCCCAGTTTACAACTCACTTCTTCCCAACCAGCGGACCCCACCCCGCCACGTCGATATGTTGTTAGCTTGCTACACACGTTCATTCTGTGATCTCGGCCCATGGCATGGCAGTAGACATGATCAAAACGCGATTGCGATTTAAATCGCATCGCATGCAGGTGCGATGTTTAAAAATGCGATGCGATTTTAAATCGCATCGCGCGATTTATTTTCCCCAAAAAAAAAATCGCACATCGCATTTTACCCGCGATGTATTAAAAAATCGCATGCGATATTTAATTAAATCGCGCAATGCGATTTCAAATCGCATCGCGTTTTAAAACATAATTAAAAAACACCCCAAAAAAACAGGAAAAAAACATGGCTGCGGGGAAATTGACTCACGGGCAGTCGTAAGCTAGAGTGCAAATAACCAGTGTGGTTTCGTAGTGGGTTTCAGAGTGAGTTTCAGTGCAATATCGCGCGCGATTTTTTTAAAATCGCATATCGCATTTAAATCGCGTTTTTTAGCGCGATTCAAATGCGATCTATATTAAATCGCGCGATATTAATTCATCGCATCGCGCGATGATTAAAAAAAAAAAAAAACAACATCGCCATCGCAAAAACGCGATTAAATGCGATGCGATGCGATTTTTTTGCCCATGTCTACATGGCAGTCACCTTCACCCCGCTACCTCGTGCCCACGTCTGCCCAGGACTGCCCACCTGAAGCTGGTCAGCGGCGTCGCGGTACTGGCGGTTGGCCGTGAGGGCTTGCAGGCGATCCACAGCAAACACTGCACAGGGGGGAAAAGGGGGAGGTTGGGGGGGGAAGGGGAGGAGGAGGGGTGACGCCACACCCCTGGAAAGGAGTGGGGTGAGAAACAAGTGAGAGAGCAAGATACAAGTGAGAGCAAGATACAAGTGAGAGCAAGATACAAGTGAGAGAGCAAGATACAAGTGAGAGAGCAAGATACAAGTGAGAGAGCAAGATACAAGTGAGAGAGCAAGATACAAGTGAGAGAGCAAGATACAAGTGAGAGAGCAAGACACAAGTGAGAGAGCAAGATACAAGTGAGAGAGCAAGATACAAGTGAGAGAGCAAGACACAAGTGAGAGAGCAAGATACAAGTGAGAGAGCAAGATACAAGTGAGAGAGCAAGATACAAGTGAGACAGACGAACATCGTAGAAAAATGGGCCTTATGGAATGAGCGACGTCATTCAGCAGGCAGAACCGGCACGCAACCCATCACGCCGTGCCATAAGGGTGGCAGCACCATGCCATCTCCCCAGCGGACCAACTGGCCCTGCCTGGGTGAGGGGCTGACCGAGCATGGCGGGGGGGTGAGGGGCTGACCGAGCATGGCGGGGTGAGGGGCTGACCGAGCATGGCGGGGTGAGGGGCTGACCAAGCATGGCGGGGTGAGGGGCTGACCGAGCATGGCGGGGTGAGGGGCTGACCAAGCATGGCGGGGGGGTGAGGGGCTGACCGAGCATGGCGGGGTGAGGGGCTGACCAAGCATGGCGGGGGGGTGAGGGGCTGACCGAGCATGGCGAGGCGGTTGAGCGCGGTGATGGTGGCGGTGATGTGCTTCTTGGCGTAGTCAAGCTTCTTGATGTCGCGGCAGATCTCCTGAACCATCACCTCGCTCTGCTCCGCCTTCGCCTTGATCGCCCGCATCTTCAACGACAGCTCCTGCCCCACACACACACGGCATGAGTGGCAGGAGAGGGTGGAGGGGTCAGGGGGGACACACGGGGGAGAGTCAAGACAAGTGAGACAGGGGGGGTGAGAGGAGAGGATCTATCAAGAGAGTAACGTGAGAGGCAAGAAGAATGGAGAGAGCATGGTAACGTGCCCCCCCCGCACCCCACCCCATGCCATCCCATGCCATCCCATGCCATCCCATGCCATCCCATGCCATCCCATGCCACCCCATGCCATCCCATGCCATCCCATGCCACCCCATGCCATCCCATGCCATCCCATGCCATCCCATGCCACCCCATGCCATCCCATGCCATCCCATGCCACCCCATGCCATCCCACGTGCTCGAGCCCATCCCACGTGCTCGAGCCCATCCCACGTGCTCGAGCCCATCCCACGTGCTCGAGCCCATCCATCGGTGCGGTCACCTCACCTCTATGGCTCGCATGGAGGCTGCCAGATCATCCTTGGCTTGAGACCCTGACGTGCTCTGCCATGCACACATGTGACATGCCATGACGTGCCATGAACGTATGTGCCGTGCCATGCCATACCACACCATGTCATGGAGACCCATGTCATATTGTGCCACACAACATGCACGACAGTGCAGCGATGTAAGTTGGAAGAGCATGTGGCACGATGGTGCCATGCCATGCGTGTACGTGGAAAACATGTGGATGGCATGCAGCCAAATGTTCGACCTGCTGCTTCAATGTGTCATCTCTTCACCAAATTGCCACGTGCTGCCCCAATAATTCCCTCGTCGCCCAAATGTTTCACCTGCTGCCCAAATGTTCCACCTGCTGCCCAATGCTTCACCTGCTACCCAATGTTTCCCCTGCTGCCCGGTGTGTCACCTGCTGCCGAATAGCCATGAGTATCTCAGCGTCCACCCGTCGGATTCGATTCCGCAGCTTCTGAATGAGCGGGTCGACGGCCGCCAGCGAGCCCTCTGGCGGGAGCGATGGAGGCAAACGCAGGGAGGGGAGGGAGAGCGAGGGGACGCGGTTGGGGACAAAGGGAGGACACGCATGTTGTGCGTTCCTCCACCATGCACTGCGCGCCGCTGCGCACCTGCTGGCTCTGCCTGAGCAAGGTGAAGCGATTAGGAGAAAGACCGATGGCCTTAATAACGAAGTCCGGTATAGCGAGGTTGTAGCAGCGGCGCACGGCGGACATTCCATGAACGCGGGCGGCTGGGCTCGCTGGAATCAACCGTCGTCTCGACTTGCTCTAAGTGCGAGCCCGGTCGGATCGGTTCAGTGACGTTGGGTGAGGCAGAGCGCGCGGCGGGGGGGGCACCGTTGGGGAAGATGTGGTTGATGAAGTCGACGGTGTTGAAGCCCGGCATGTCCAGCGACGCCGGCAGCCGCGCCGCCGGCAGCGCCGCGCCGTCCGCCTGCGACTGGCTCTGCGGGTCGGCCGCCATGGCCGCGAGCGACAGGGACTGCGATAGTCAGCTTCGGGCGGAGTGGTGTCACGAAAGCGAAGTGCTCGAGGGGAACGATGTGCGATTTGCCCTGCCGTGAAGCGAGATGCGGAGCATGCCTAACTCGAGAAGAAACAACAGACAAGAGGGAAACAATAGCCTTCAAATTCACAGGCTGTTACCAAGCAGTAGTTACGCATTCTGCAATTTATTATGAATAATAATCTAGAGTGCGCGGAATAATAAATGACGAGTACAAGAATGGGAGCCTAGCATTATATAGCGAGAATTCTAGCTAGGCGACGAGCCCGGAGGGCTAGGTTGGGCACAGGTGCGGTCGAAAAGGCCGGAGGCGGCACGAGCCAGCCTTGGGGTCGCCTCGGAAACGGACCGAGCCTGGTCTTCCAAGAGTTCGGGTGTACGCAATTGCAGTACAATCAGGTAAGGAAGGTGGTCAATATCGGGAACAGGGCTGAATATTAAACTGTAGTGCACGTGCGCAAATTTGTTTCGAGCATGACAAGTCTTGTAGAGTCCTAATTCGGCGGAAAACTTTTCTCGTAAATACATTTGTTGGAAAAAAAAAAAACAAAAAACAAAAAAAAACAACCACCAGACTTCTAGTAGACTTGTTGTATTGAAATTGATACAAAATTAAATGCGGTTATGAGAATACCTTGACGCGCTTTTAAACATATTCATTTCCCAAATATAAGCCTCCGTAGCTATCTATATATGTTATTGTTTTGGGAAAGTATACCGGCACTCAGTATTAGGGGCCTCGATAACATGTACGGTCAATGACACGATATAAATGTTAAAGTAGCTCTAGGCTAGGATACTAGGCAGGAACAAGGCCGCCATGAATGTGGCGGCGGGGTTTAGCTAGGAGCTGGACGAGAGTGTCGAGAGAAAAGGGGGTTGGATTAGGAAGAGAGGGGAGTACAAGGAGGGGTTTGTACCCCCTACAGAAAGGTTCAGTAACAACCTACCAAGCCTATATTAAATTATAACTTATATAATTTGAACACACACCCTAGGCTTGGTAGTGTCAAGCCCACTCACACCCCCACACCCACACCCACACCCACACCCCCTAGCCCAGCACCCCCATTCCCAGCAGGAGACACAACGACTCCAGAAGCGGGCAGCTCCCACTGCCCGTGGGATGGCTATGGCGGCAGCAGCGACATTGACGACAGCGGCGCCGGTGGCGGCGTGCGGCGGCGCCCGGCCCGCGGCAACAGCAACGGCAGCGGCGGCTTGGACGTCAGCGGCTGGTGCAGCGGCCCCCGCCCTCTCGGCGGCATGTCCAGTCACCTCGGCAGTGGGGAGGGCCTGCGGGAGGCAGTCGTTGGCTGCAGCAAGGAAGGGGGGGGAAGCAGGGGAAGGAGGGGGGAAGGGGGGGGCGGGGGAGAGGGGCGCGGGGCGTAGTCCAGCATCACGCCGGCGGCTGCAGAGCGGGCGGCAGGTCCGGCGGCACCATTGACGATGTGCGGCCGGCTGTCGCCCGATGACGCCGCCACGGCAGCCAAAAGACGCCGCCACAGCGCGACGTCGATGCCGCGGCGGCGAGGCGGAGGTGCGACTGTAGCTCGACTAAGCCGCCGCGGCATCTCAGAGAAGTCGCCACGGCGGCACGGAAAGGCAAGGCCGCCACGGCGGCAGGAAAACGAAAGGCCGCCATCAGCGGCACGGTACGAAGTGAAACGTAAGACAAGGACGAGGCGGAAGCGTGGAAGGCAGGACCGGAAACAGCCTGCTCTGATACCATGTTAAAGTAGCTCTAGGCTAGGATACTAGGCAGGAACAAGGCCGCCATGAATGTGGCGGCGGGGTTTAGCTAGGAGCTGGACGAGAGTGTCGAGAGAAAAGGGGGTTGGATTAGGAAGAGAGGGGAGTACAAGGAGGGGTTTGTACCCCCTACAGAAAGGTTTAGTAACAACCTACCAAGCCTATATTAAATTATAACTTATATAATTTGAACAATAAACAATCAGAATTAGCGAGTTTGTAACATGTTTAATCAGTCGGGTTCCATCGTTAGTCAGAAATTGCTGGAAAAAAGTTCCACGAATGGTCAGTAGAAGTAACCCTCCCGGCCGTCGAGGAACGTTTTCCCGCTCGCGCCAGCCCAATTTCGTCATCATTGTGGCTGGCGCGATATTTTTCCCGAGCTCCAGGCGCAGTTCGAATGAAAAAACGCAAAAGACCCAAATTAAAATTCATTTGAAATTTGTCCGTCGAGAAAAAAAAAAAAAAAAAAAAACGATCTTGTTTCGAAGCACATACTCTCAAAATTAGGACACTAGCTTAGTTAGGAAGCTAGGAGACTAAGAGGCCGCCATGGAATGGCGGGAAAAAAGTAGATCTAGGAACGTGAGGACGAAAGTGTCGAGAGAGAAGAGTTTCGCTTAGGAAGAGAGAGTGGTACAAAGAGGGGATTGTACCCTTTACAGAAAGGTTCAGTAACAACTATCAAGCCTATCAATTATATATTATTTATATAATCTTAACACACCCCCAAGGCTTGATAGTCACACACCCACCCAACACCCACACACCCCCTAATCACGTACACCCTAATGCTCGTGAGCAGCCGGGTATCTAACCCTTGTGCTAGGCGATGACACCCCCGGACGAGAGGCAGCTGGCGGCGTCTGGGCGGCTTCAATGACGACAGCGGCGGAGCACGTGCTCAAGGCGGCTGCGTCGATGAAGACAGGCGGCGACTGCGGCGGCTGAGGGCTCTCGGCGGTGTGGCACAACCCGGCGACGACAGAGCAGAAGACAGCAACTGCGGCAGGAGCAGAAGGAGACGCAGGGGAGGGAGAGGTGGTGGGCCTGCTGTGGTGGGGCTGCAGGACTTCAGTGCGGCGCCATAGGCGCGGCACTTACTGGCGGGCGGACGCGCTGCATGTCCAGCAGCTGCGGAGGTGAAACTCGGCGGCTGCAGCTCGACGACACCGCCGCGGCACCAGAATGACGCCGCAGCAGCATGGCGTCGGAGCCGCAACTGCTCGTCGAAGTTGGGACGGCAGCATCAAGTGGCCGCCGCGACATCTTGATGCCACGGCGGCAAGCAGGCAGAAAGCCGCGACGGCGGCGAACGGAGCAGGAGTGCGCAGCGGAAACGCAGGGAGCAGGCCCAGTAACGACTGGCTCTGATACCATCTCAAAATTAGGACACTAGCTTTGTTAGGAAGCTAGGAGCCTAGGAGGCCGCCATGGAATGGCGGGTAGAAAGTAGATCTAGGAACGTGAGGAGGAAAGTGTCGAGAGAGAAGAGTTTCGATTAGGAAGAGAGAGTGGTACAAGGAGGGGATTGTACCCTCTACAGAAAGGTTCAGTAACAACTATCAAGCCTATCAATTATATATTACTTATATAATCTTGACACATACTTTCCTCACAGAGGGTAGCGCATCGCGCGATGTTTAAAAATGACGGCTTTGTCTCTACCGCATTTACAGCCCCAAAGAAAAATCAAGCCATCAACTTGTCATTCCCGAATCGCCTGAAAACTATAACATGTATAGATAGCTACGGAGGTTTATTTTTGCGAAATGAATATGTTTTAAAGCACGTCAAGGTACTCTCAGAACCGCATATAATTTTGTATTAATTTCAATACAACAAATCTATTAGAGTTTTTCCATCTTAAGTCTGGCGGTTATCTTTTGATTTTTCCAACAAATGTATTTACCGGAAAAAAATTCTGCCGAATCACGACTCTACAAGACTTGTCATGCTCGAAACAAATTAGCGCACGCACAATATTGTTTAATATTCAAGCCCCATTGGCTTAGCACCGATCCCGGATAGATTTGCCCTTTCGTATCAAATGTTTTCGTTTTTTTTTTTTTTTTTTTTTTTTCGTTTGTTAATGTTTCAAAAATGTCGCACCCGATGTGCGGCCCGCTGTGGCCCAATTTGCTTATGTGATATAAATGCTCAAGGTCTCAATTTTGGATTTTTGTGTGTGCGAAGTCTAACGATTTTTTATTTGGGAATACTTTACGTAGTTCTCTCGAACTGCGCTTGGAGCTTGGGAAAAATATCGCGCCAGCCGGAATGATGACGAAATTGGGCTGGCACGAGCGGGAAAACGTTCCTCGACGGCTGGGGGTTATTTGTACTGACCATTCGTGGAACTTTTTCCTGCAGTTTCTAACTAAAGATGGAACCCGACTGATTAAACATGTTACAAACTCACTTATTCTGATTGTTTATATCGTGTGTCTGACCTTACATGTTATCGAGGCCCCTAATACTGAGCGCCGTTATACCTTCCCTATTGTTTTCGGGTGACTCGGGAATGACAAGAAGTTTATGGCTTGACTTTTCTTTGGGGCTGTAAATGCGGTAGTGACAAAGCCGCCATTTTTTATCATCGCGGGATGCGCTAGCCTCTGTAACGAAAGTATGCGCTTCGAAACAAAATCGTTTTTTCGTGTTTCTCGACTGACAAATTTCAAATGAATTTTAATTTGGGCATTTTCCGTTTTTTCGCTCGAACTGCGCCTGGAGCTTGGGAAAAATATCGCGCAGCCATAATGATGACGAAATTGGGCTAGCGCGGGCGGGAAAACGTTCCGAAACGGACTGGGGTTACTTCTACTTACGATTCGTGGAACTTTTTTCCAGCAGTTTCTGACTAACGATGGAACCCGACTGATTAAACATGTTACAAACTCGCTAATTCTGATTGTTTATATCGTGTCACTGACCGTACATGTTATCGAGGCCCCTAATACTGAGCGCCGGTATACTTTCCCGCATGAAAATGTTTTGGCCCCTAGACAGGGAGAGACGAAACAACTATTTTCTAATAGACGCCCCTTTTACGGTCATTCTCCCGTTTGGTCAACTGAAAGTCTATCAAAATTTGACGGCCTCGGTCGATTGCGATCGTTTCGACATGTTTCGACCGTTAGATGGTTTCTAAAGACTGACGTCCAAGATCTCCCAACCGGCGCTGCAAGGGCGCGAATTTTCTCCCACCGCTCTATTCGCCCAGCTTGCCCTCTCTCCCTATGGGTAGTTTTGATCCCCCCCTCCCCCTCCATTTTCGATCCCCCCCCCCCCTCTGTTTTGCTTCCCCCCTCCCATCAATTT